TATATATATATATAATTTTTAAACTTGTTTTATAAAAGTTTCTGCCAACATTACAAAGTTTCAAGCAATTCTCTCACAAAGATAAATTGTCATAAAAAAACATTTTCAATAAAGAAACCAAAAAAAAAAAAATCGAAAAAGGTATTATAATGAAAGATTAATTTTTAAATCGACCTGTCTCTCTCTATTTAACGTTTTATCCGTGTCTTTTCACGCTTTTTCAAATTTCATTCGCAAAGGTAAAATAAAGAAGCATCACATTTTTGCGGCGAATAAGAAACCGTTATTGCGGGCGGAAAAACGACGACGTTTACGCAAGTGAATGCTGGAAGATCCCCGTTGCAGCAGCGGCTTGCGAGGGCGGTCTGACGTAACGTTACGTTACGTCAGATCGTGCTATAAAGTGCCACAGGGATGATGGTGGCGCGCGTGGGGGTAGCTCGCGACGAGGGGGTCGACGGGGTTGGTGGGGATGTGCCGGAGGAGGTTGGCACGTCAATAGGAGAGAATCCCTTGGTCGCCGGGTAGGGAAACGAACCTTCGAGTGGGGGATAACTCGCAAAAGCTCGCAGCCACACACAAGGGATGCGAGAGGGGTAATTGTCTCTCGATCCTCTCTCCCTCTCCCTTTCTTCTCCCTCCTTTCTATCCTTTCGAAATATGCGACTCCTCCGATAACGCATGATTTCCGGGATCGTGCATGAGTTGAGGCGATATATCGCTTCGGGGTCGTCTATGTTTAGGGGTAATTTTCCAAGAAAAGGTTGCTTCTTCACTCTTTAGCGCTCGTTACTTTCTCGTTACCATATATAAATCACTTAGAGTTAACGTCGGTTAAGAAGGGACGAAAATAGAAGGGAGCAGAAACTTAGTTAGATTCCGGGTAACGTTTGCTGGCTATTTATGGATACAACAAATCAATCCCGTAGAGAAATATATATATAAATTGCCATAAAAAACCCATGTATTTAAAATTATTTTTTCTCGTCTATGAAATCTATATATAATCGGACCATTAATTACAGCGTACTATTACATTGACCGTAACTATAACATATAAATTTGAAAATGGCACATGATATCGGTAGTTCAAGACTCGATTGAAAGCTAACATCGATCATAGATATGGACTCCTAATTTTGTAACGTCCTGTGCCGATGCACACGTCACGTGACGCAACCGCCCTCGCAACAGTTTCGCTATACATGATTTAGTGGTGTGGCGCTTGCCACAGGATAGAGACAGGGTTCTGTCCATTCACCCATCAGACCGTGTCAGGCACGTCGCTCTAGGCATCAGGCATTTAGATACCGTAAGTGGTTTGGCTACCATTGAGCTCGTACGGGAGAGTGCGGGAGAGGGGGAGGGGGATGGAAGAGGTCGGGAGTCACCGCGTATAATCGGACGCGACTATAAGAACGGGGATAGTGGAGACGGGTAGGGAAAATGATGGGTAGGGAAAATGGCGGGAGGAGAAAGGGTATTATTCGCCGTAGGGGTGGCACACACGGTCAGTGACGTACGACAATGTCGACGTTATCGTGGATCGAACAAAAAAAGAAGGAAACGCGGCGTGAAAGGCGGTAAAGGTTTGCAAAAACTCTGCCGCATGAAACATGGCAGTTACAAATCTCTACCACCCTTCGCGCTAAATAAGAACCGCCGGTAATCTCTTTACCTTTTTGTGTGACTTTTCAACTGGACTCGCTGCTACTTGAAATAAAAATCATAACGCTTTCTGTAATAATTTCTATTAATATATATGATACAATTGTCAGATTTTGGGGAAATTATATCACGATATTGAGACATTTAATAAGTCTGTTATATTTAATCCGATATATAAAAAATATTTTATAGAACATATATATATATGCACATATTATAGTTTATAATGTATATGTATGCATGTCACTTTCTGTGTGTGTAATCTTTCATGTGAAAATAAATTTAATATGGTATAAACAATTTTTTTGTATATATTGATTAATTTAAAATTGATAATTTTATGGAAATGTAAAAGCTACTAATTTAATTACAATTTTTTGTAATACAGTATTTCCTTCGATTACGTTACTGCGCTCTGCTTGGTAGGAGTGGGTTGTCATAATCCCAGTAGCGTCTCAAGCGATAGGGGTAATATCGAAAAACATTCATCGAATAAAACTTCGAAACCTATATTTTTTAACGCAAAATTTTTTACTGTAAATTTATATTAATGGAAACGAGCATTTATCGTATCTCGAGAAGCATCTAAAAATTATTATTGACATTCTGACGACACGGAACCTCATGGCGAAATTCCGCTACTGCAATTTTACCTAACGGAGGATAAGGGGTGATACGTTAGGGGCGTCTCAATCGCGAAGGAACCTGGTGGTTATATAGCAAGGTTTACCGAATTTAATAGGTGAAGAATATTTAGCAGCAGTTTTATCTAACGTCGCGCGACTCCAGTTATCGAAATTATTTGCACATTTCGTGTATATATTATATTAAGTAAAATTCTATTTATAATAATAATACCGCATTTCTTCTTGTTAACGATTCATTCAGCTTAACAAATTATTCATAAAACTCTCTTTTATTCCATAATAAAAAGGATAGTGCCTACGATGATATTCGGGATAATAAATTCCACAAAATATAATTATATCTCATAAAACATATAAATCCCATTAAATATAATTTTAATAAATAAATAAAAAATACTAAATATATTTCACATTTAATATAATTTTAATAACA